GGGGGAGCAAGTATAATGTCCAGCAAACTAGACGTTTTCTTTTAAAGAATTTTTCATTTACTGTGAACATAAAATGTTGCCTTATTGATATATTTCTTGATATGTTGACCTATTGTTAATATTTATTACGGTAACAATTGATATAGTGGACGAATTTCGTTTAAATAGAAAATAAGTATAAGCTATATTTTTCAATGTGAATGTGAAGGGAGGTGGGCATGAAGGGCCCACCATAAAGAGCGACACTTGTCGACTAATGAGTATGCAATCCTTCAAGTAAAGAAAACTGGTTTTCAGGAGGCCGAAACGTTTAATCTTATGTTTTCGTTCCTACAAATTCACGCTCTCACTGGTAATGTAACTGACTGTTCAGGTAGTTTCTTTATTTCTCGTACGAAGCGTCTCCTTCTGCAGCATACAACTTCCTGATACTTTTTTACTTCCTTGCTACTGTATAAGCAGAACAGGGAACCTATTGTGATGCTGCGGGGAAAATGCGGTGAATTTTCGACGGAAAAACCTTTGAAACCAATGAAAATATTGAAAAATCCCGTCCCTTATATGTAGTAAATTACTTCGTCTAACACACTATGTAGTCAGAATCCATGTTTTGTGGGTCCTTGATACCGAAAAATCGAATTACGGCAAAACATTCGCCCGTGTCCGAAAGCGGCGAAAGCTTCTAGCGGCTAATTCCGAATTTTTCAATAGTATCTGAATACAGAAATTGTCACATTATAATATTACATAAGCGTTAACGATAAACTATTGCGAGAAAGAATGTGCTGTTGTAGCACCATTGCTTTTAATTTTCTATCAGTGGGTGAAATACATTAAAAGACCATGATAAGTTTTAGTTCTTTAAAGAGAAGGCAGGTTTCAATCAATTCAAACAATAGTTGTTACCAACAATCACGACTAATCAGAGAAAATGATATCGAGGAGGACTGGAACGAAGAAAGAATCGCTCTCCGATGACCTTTATATTAACCTTCTGATGGATAACGGAAGTCAACATCAAAATATCCGTCCTACTGCTGGACTGACTGGACTGTACCTAACTTTCAAACGCCGTTCCAATCTTAATTACCGTGGTCGCCTATTAGAAAAATATTCTTTATTCTATTCATTTTTATGAAATTTTCCTTTTTGCTCTCTAATCTCCACTCTGGTTATTCCGGTAGGATATAATTGATTTCTTAATAAAGTAAGGAATTCGGAAAAATATTTGAGCGAGTAAACATGAAACAACATTCCTGGCCTTTAAAATTAAAAGCGTTACTTGGCTCTACAAAGAATTGCATAATTGAAATTATTTATTTCGCTGTGGTTATAGATTAGAGTTGGTCATCTAATAACATTTTTGCATGAATTATATTAACTAATGTGGTTCATAAATTCGTTGTTTAGAAGCTCCGTTACAGGCCAGATTCAATGAATTTCAGAGATATTTTCCAGCGTGATTATTTGCTAGGTGATGGGATTGTCGAGTGAATTGATGACCCAGTCAAGTAGGTTTATCGTAAACAGAAATGTCATGATTGTCTCAACAAAATCTTCAGATGATCATTGCTTACGGAGGCTTTGGCCGATTCCGTGAAGACTCCCGTGGACTCAATGACGTAGGCCGCGCCGTGCTTTGCCCAAGGAATCAGCTTAGGATCCTTCTCATTGTACACGGAGATGGGCATGCCTGAAACATATGCGAAACTTCGGCTGATTCATTTATATACCATTTGTTCTTAAAACATATTACTTTTATTTAACCACTTTTGGGAAATACGTTTGTTTTTCACTCATTATTATTGTTTATATTTTAGTTATTGAAGTTTATATTTTAATGTCAGAATTTATGTTGTTATTACTATTATTATTGTTATTACTATTATTATTGTTATTACTATTATTATTATTATTAAAGCTTAAATAAAATTTTTAAGCATAATGACCTTTATGATAATGATTTCTGAAATATATTTATGACTCCAAAATATATTTTGATAGGCATGAAAAATATTTCTAATTATTTCATTTAGTTAGTCATATACATGGATTCATTCAAATTAAGGTAAGCAAGACCCTAGACACTTTTTCTTTACATTTCAACCAAACAAGATTGTTTTCACAATTTGTTAAACTTCTGTTATTATATATATATATATTGCCAAAGTGTTCGAATCTATCGAGAAATAAGTTTTTCAGTACTCAATGTTAATATTTTCATGCCAGGAATTGGGGCGTTTTAGAGGAGTGCAAAATAAATTTTAGGTTAGTTTACGTTAGGTTGGTACATTTTTGGTAAAACTTTTTTGTTTGACTGTCTCAAATTAATACCTTCGAGATTCGTTGACATAGTTAATATTTAACCTTTTGGTTTATTAAGGCAGAATTACTAAATGAAAATATGTCTCACTTAAAAATGTGTTCTTGACAATACTTTGTAGACTTAAGAGTATCGATTTGTAGTGGATGTGTGTATCATGTGCAGATTCATACAGACATCTGAGGGGAAATTTAATATAAGTAGATTTTAAATTTAAAGACACTTATTTAAAAGAGTTACGTACCGTTGACGAATAAAGTGCCATCTTTGCTTTCTACGCTGCCGGCGAAGGGACCGTGCGTAGAATCGTACTTAAATAAGTATGCCATGTAATCTGGGTTCAAAAACGGATCGTTCACGCAGACAACCTGTGAAAGAAGATCGGTATGTTGTATCATGTACTTGTATAGACTTCGGAAAGACGAACTCAAACAATATTTTGCAAAGGAAAGAGAACTTTTGTTCTGTTCAGACATTTCCAGCTTGATTGGTCGTCTAGGAAAAATATAAATCAGAAGATTGGCGCCTTTTCATTGACTCGAATGAAAGACGTCTAGAAGGTGTTTTGCGGAAATGAAAAATGGAAATGAACTTTCTTCAATTCCAATAGTTCATTCTACATCTCCCAAGGAAATTTATCCAAATTTTTATATTATAGAAAAAATAAATATAATGAACACCGGTGCTACGTATGCTGTGATCTGAAGGTGTGCGGTATTTTATTGGGTCAACAGGGATGGTAAACCAAATCTCCGTGTTTCTTTTGTGAATGGGACTCTAGAGCCAGAGAAAGACGCTGCGAAGTTACAGATTGACCGAAAAGAAATCAGTGCCAGGATCAGAAAATGTAATTGCCCAGTTATTGACTCCCAAAAATGTTGCTACCTCCCTAGTAATTCAAACTAGGAATATTAGTGTAAGCAGGAACCAGTTTTGAAAAAGCTTTTTTGACAAAACTGGTTCCTGCCTACAATATCTTATTCCATTGTTGCCAGCAAGTAAAATGAGAGAAGGCGTTTTCACAGATTCGCCAACTAATTCAAGATTCCGGTTTTAAAAGCACAGTGGCTGACGTAGAACTTTAAGCATGGAACTCATTCAAGAATATAATCAACAATGTTCTAGGCAACGTGAAAGATGTGTAATATGAACACATTGTTAAAACAATGCTCAACAAATTTACTCGGATGTAACAAGAGCTTGAAGTAACATTTTCTCCATTCCCATGTTGAATACTTCCCGGAAAACTTGGGATCATTAAGTAAAGAACAAGGAGGAAGATTTCATCAGATTATTAAACAGATGGAAATGTACCAAGGTCGATGGGATGTTTCCATGATGGCAGATTACTGTTGTGTTTAATAAGAGACAACGGACGCTTGGACCATGGAACGTCGATCAACTCAGCGTTCGTCTTCAACAAAGCGGAGGAGAAAATAGTCTTTCTGCGGTGCGTTTGAAATTTCACTTTCCTTTTTAAACTATTATATAAGTGCAATTAATGCTTTTACGCATTTCAAAATATGCTCACGAACATTATTATTATTGAAATTATATTATAAATTCAATAACTTATTGAAATTTAATTATTTATTTTGTGTGTGACACGAAATCCGTACGTGATAGGTAACTAGTAGTGCTATAGAGTGGCACAAACATTCTCGTAGTAAAACTTTTTAATTTCCTTTGTGAGGGCTAGCTTTACGGTCTTGCCCCCATCCTCTTGGCTACGGCTCCCATCGCCCCCAAAAGTACGTTTATTTGAATTTTTCTCAATCTTACTGTTTCCTAATCGTAGACTCGACATATTACTTTTAAAATATTAAAGAAGAGTGAAACTTCCTCCACTATGGAATTTTTCGTTGAAAAACTTGGTGCCGTTTTAAAGGAAAAATTGTAAATGCGAAATTTAAAGCAGTTTTTCACAGAATTCTTTTGTGTTTTCGAAAAACTTCATTTGAAGACATTTGAATAACTTTCACTCACAAATGCAGTAATGTAATCAAATTTCTAGAAATGTTCATATTAACGACGTGAGATTTATTTAAAACGTTATATTTGAGTAATGTTTGAGAAACAAAAGGATACAGAAAAATCAATTCCATATCATCTTAAAGAGCGCAATAAGCACTATACTAACGACGAGTTTTAAGAAAAAATTTGGAGCCGTTTTTGAGAAAATGAAGCCCGAGCTTTTCTGAAAATGCGGAGTGAGGTATGAGTTTTGAGCTCGTTTTCACTGAGTTTGAAAACTATTGAGTTTTCAAGAAACTTTATTAGACATGATTTAAAGCACATGTATTTGTAAATTCAATAATGTGATCACATCTCCGCTAATCCAAATATTAACGACGTGAAAGGCTAGTCAAAAAAATACATTTTTGTAAGAAAGTAAAGAAAATAAACAGCAATAGAATACAACAAAATGACATGTATGTCATCTTGTAGAGTACATTTCACACTATTCCTACCAAAGCGTTTAAAGCAAAAAATGGAGCTGTTTTCGAGAAACTCTTGTTTTTGTTATTGCACATATTGCACGCAGTAGTGCACAAAAACTACCAAAAGTGTAAAAAAAGTACATGACCTTGATGAAAAACTAATTATGAACAACAAATTTCACTTGAAAGAAAAATCTCTATCTTTAATTTTGTAGTTGTAGGAAGATGCCGAAAAAATCCAAACTTTGGCAATTTTCGAAAATTTAGAGTTAACCCTGAATATCTAACCTATGATACCTTCAAAAGTGTATTGTACTTTATTCTTACAATAATTTAAAGAAAACATTTTAGTTTTTGAGAAATTTTTTAAAAAAAAGGTTCCAGGGTCTTCGTGTAAAGCAACGCCAAATTTTAAAGAATATTTTTCAAAATAGCAGCGCCTGGAGTAGAGCCAGATCGACAGGGGAATATCCATTTTGGAAAAAAATCGTTTGTATGGGTTAGGCGCTAGTGATGTCCACAGAACACATCGATTTTTTTTTCAACATCGACTTTTTAGACTGCTTTAGAAACCTCTAATTTGTGCGCATTAACATTTAATTTGAGTGTTCTTGTTGATCAATTCGCCGAATAAGGGTACGAGAAGAAGGGTCAGACTCTACGCCTACAGCATATTTGTTGCCCATTTCTCAATGTGCGAAATGAATATGAAGAAAGAGCAAATACAAGGGCATGGAGGCCATCTCGGGGAAGGGAGAGTGGCCCATGAAAGTAGTACATACAGCGTTCCTTTGGTTCCAACACATGAACTACAGTGTTACCATCAATTATTATTTCATATTTTAACTTTTACAGTATTGTGATCACGGGGATTTTTCATTCAGAAACAAAATATCGGGAAAAAAAACATCGATCACAATACATCGATGTTAAAAAAAGGTCGGCGTTAATACATCGATGTTGGTACAAAGACATCGATGTTTTAAAAACATCGACATCCTCAGTGAGCAGCCGCTCGCAGTTCGATGAATGCCGAAATATGCGGAGTTCTCTAGAACAACACGGAGCGTCGGGGCAGGTCGAGGATCGCCTCTCACCCGGGTGTCCTTGGCGAGGGACGCTCGCAGCGCCAGCCGGCCGATGCGGCCGAAGCCGTTGATGCCCAGCAGCGGCATGTTGGTGGCGGCGCCCATCTTGATGGTGCCGCCGACGGTGATGCCGGTGTTGATGCCGCCGCCCACGTTGATGTTGCCGCCCACGGGCACCATCTGCCCGTTGGGGCCGGCCATGCCGCCGCCCACGGCCACGCCGCCGCCCTGCGATGCGCTGAATCGCTGTGCCATCGTGTGCTGCTGATTGGCCTTCGGAAGAGTGAACCTGCCAAAGCAGAATTTCGTGAAGATATGGCGAATGGTTTTCTGATGTGGGAATGGACGTATGCGATGAATGGACGAAGTAACTGGATGAGAATTGATCCCTGGCGCGATAACTACTGAGGTCAAGTGTAGAGCAGGTATGTTAAGCGGGGGAAGGTAACTTCTAGCTCACTACATTTCGCGGGTCTGCCTCCAGAACAACGGGCGGGATATTTAAGAGGAGGAGGTTGTACAAAAGCACACTAGTAGCTGTACATCACTGGACATCTGGTCCTCGACAGTTTTTCGGATTAGTTATTCGACAGTTGTTTCCCCAAATGAATCTATATTAATTCCAATTTCACCTAGTAAAGAAAAGAAATGATCCATTAAAAATAATAATAATATAGGCCCACAAGTCATATTTCAAATTGTAAATTGAAAGTAAGATTAAACATTCTGAGTCGAAATCATCTTTATTTCCTTATCTCTTCACATGGTGCAATAATTGCATTGCACATCCTACACATTGCACTTCCTACGTTCTAATTAGGAGGATTAACAAAGATTCTTGTGTTAAAAGATCTGTCCGACCGTAAGCGAGTTAATTTACAGAAACTTGTTAATTGATTTCCCATTATTGCTATATTAAAAAATAACTGAATTATTTTATAAAACATATATTCCAGTTAAATAAGACCAAAATATCATGATCGAAGGAAAAAAATCCCGGAGTTTTGCTACTTGGAATGATTGTTCGCACACTTTACTAAGAATCCTGAACCGAAAATTATGCTCTATACAAAATTAAAGAAGACGAAATTTCCTATAAAAAATCCTAAACGTCTTTGTTGAAAAATTATCCCTTTTAAAGTTTGAAGTTTAAATTTTTAGATTTGCAAAAGTCTTATTTTTATGTACGGCAAGGCCCTTTTTTAGATTTCTCCTTTATGAAAAAATGTGTTCAATGTGCACAAGTAATTTTATTTTTGTTCAACATTTATCGACAATATGTACTTCCATACTTTGCTCAAAACACTTTAACATTTTACGTCTTATCAAATCTCATTTTGTACATACTTGTAGTATCCGAGGGCCATTGGGTCCGAGATTACCTCGGGTACGAAAACTGACAAACTATAGTTTATTTGATATGAATCTATGAAAAATAGTCGGTAGTTTGTGTACACTAACAAATAAATAACAACATAGGAGTACAAGCTCGTAAAATGGAATAATCTCATTTACCACGTACATAGAGGGACAACTAAAACGGAGAATCAGTGAACGACATACACAATTTTTGACAAGTAAACTAAAGTATTTGCTTACTTATTGATACTAGCGATTTACGTATTGATACTATGAATATAGGCTAGGTTTGGGTAGTCCTGATTAACCGAGGCAGACATTAAGAAAAGCAACAAAATAATTCTTTGCAAAATAGCCGATACTGTTACTGATTTTAGAAATATTATAGATTTCCCCAACTCCATTACCGTTGTATGCCTTCATAGTTTCGATGAAGGGGCTACCATTATTTCTAAAGTAAATCTTGTCCTCTATTTCACCGATCGAATTGAGATCACAATATACATGTCACTCAATACAGAATGAAAATAACAAGGAAAGATTCCAGTTCATTGACACGAACTGAAGTGAGTTCCTTATGAGGTTTATTCCTGTTCCGTATACTTTGGTGTCCTGCATTTTGATGCTTCTCTTTTGCGCGCGAGATGAATAACAATTTTATGACCCAATATTAGAAAAAATAAATACTTGCAGACCTCGCAGATTGCAGTAAACCCACAGTTTAAAAAATCTATATATTTATTATTACACATGAACAGTTAACATTTATAACTATTATTATTATTATTATTATTATTATTATTATTAATTCTTTATTCTTCAATGGTCGTGATTATACAATGGTGGATTATTATTATAATGCTAATAAAATTAGTGAAGTAACAGAAACATTTCAATTCATATGTACTTCTCAACCAAGAAGAAGTATTAACTCCAAGGATGACATTTTCAGATCGTGCTGCATGAATATGCGAGCACTACATAACCTAACAACTGACTTATTTGCGATTCACGAACATCACTTACTTAAAATTAAATGACTACTATTACCTTTTGACTAATCTACAATTTTTTTAAACACGAATAATTACAATCTATGAATTGTTAGTCTCACAATGTTGTTAGAAATAAATTATGAATCCACCACAAAAAACAGTTTACGCAACGATATTACTCTCAGTTCGGTGGACTTATTATCAATTGTTACAATATTCAAATTACAATTAAATTCAATTTTTTAGGGTTAGCACATTTCAACCTATCTCATGAAATCTAATAAAAATATGCGATGTTCAAAATGTTTGATTAAAATGATATAATTGTTTCCTGCAGTATATTATTCATAATTTCTTGAATTCTTTCAACGGATGATGATTAAAGTGTGAAGGAATGGTAATTTCATTTTCCTACTGCGCTTCCCTGTTCAGTTCAGCCCATGCTGGAAATTATGGCTGCTAACTGCAGCATTAGACGTAAGGGGGAAATGGGATGACTAAATCATAAACAATGTCTTAATTTATAAATTAAAATGTTCCCATTAATTATGGGCATATGATATCCTAGGCTTTGTGTTACTATTTATGGATACCAATAACACAACAGAACACTAAATTGATAATCTCAACATTCAATTCCACTCTAGTTCGCTCAAGTTATTCAACCTCTATTGAAAAGTTTAGCCGTCTATGGTTCCAGTCCTTTACTTTAAGTGTGACAAAAGAAGGGATATCAGTAAAGTGTGAGTACCAACAAAACAACAATTCACAAGGAGAAAATAGATGGCCGTGGCTTTCAGTAATAGTTTGTAACCTCAAAGGAAATTGTAATAATTTGAAAGTAGACAATCCATTTTAATAAAACAATTACTTACCGACTAAATTAAAATATTTTCGCCCAGTGTAGTTTCTAAAGGCGAAATCCACCGTAAATTTTGAACTATTTTAGACACCTCATGAGGAGATGTCACATACTAGGAATTTTGACTATTTTTGTTGATTTATGTTACCACGGAAATGAGTTACATTTTGCAATAGTCCGTTTTACATCAACATAATTATTAAAGAGAGAGGGAGAGAGACCTGATTTTCTGGAGAAAGCATCGAGTGCTGACTGAAAATGATAATAAATCCGAAAAAAGCAATCATTTTCTTATTACTTTTTTGTTGGATTGAATCAAATAATTGTATTTAAACAACAAACATATACCGTATGCATCTTCATATTGCACTAAGTAGGATTCGTACATTGGTTTTAATCTTTCACATCGTAACTTTTCAGATTGATTGATTTTTGTTTAAATTATAATTGTATTTTAAAAATCTACATAAATTTTGTACGTAACCTAGGATTAACTTACGATTCATTCGGCAAGCATTCATCAACAAGCAAATAGATTGTCAAATAGGTTAAATAATAAAATGATTGTAAGTGATTCTACCGTTATCAGTTCAATTCCCACTTATGTAGCCTATGTGTGTGAGTCAGAATTAATCTGTTTACATAATTTGTATTACATATTTCTTTGATAATTATAACCACAACCAATTAAAATAGAATGAGTCGCAAAGGATAAGTTCCTTTGATCAAAGCTCATCATCGATATCATGTTTCATAGAACAGAAAACAATTTTATTGCGGACTATGACTGAATCTAAAGTACAAAATTAAACGCCATTCACAGTTCAGATTAAAGTCCATTCACCACATTTATTACTGACGATAATTTCTCCTTCCTCCTGCTCAAAATGTCATATTCAGGAAAAGAAAGTTGAATTGTTTCAGTAAACTTTTCATAATTGTGATTCAAGAATAAAGTTCTTAAAAATATATTCGATCATCGCACTGTCAGATTACTTTATTTCTGACGATCACAGACAATAAATGCTGATGTAAATTCGGAAGGAATGTTAAAAGCTTTCTACATACAAGGTTTATCGTAGATATAGAGTATGCGATTCGTGAGTGATTTAATATAAATTCTATACTAAAAGTCATTCATGTCGGAATATAAGAACGGAAGTATAATTACATTGTGTCTGCGTATTGCACGCATCCGACGACTTATCTACTAAACATTAATTTGACAGTATTTACCTACTCCTGAAATACTGTTCATATAATAGTGTGTTTAATTGCTAACCGTTAATTACTCATCCAATCTTTAAAATTAAAAAAAATACTAATGACTATAGTAATGACAAAATAAACACTCCTCGAGTTCATAAAGAAAGCAACGGAATTGTAGAGAGATGTTTAAAGGAAAATTCTATTACATCACAGCACCGCATTTGCCTATCTTATCGCTGCCCGATACGCCAACTGTCATCACGCTGTGGATGGGATCGGAACGTATCAGCCCAATCGGCCGAAGACCTGCCATCGCAACGCAGGTCGTGTTCGAGTCAACGTAGTGCGTCAAGGGCGCTGATTCATCTGATAATAAATACACAAACATGCCGTGTACAACTAGGCTTTGTCGTTGTGTGTAAAGAATGGAAATCTTAGGATAGTCACTTTTAAATACACTAGCTTTGTCTTCTCTTATTTATACGAGAATAGGAGACACGGTGTTTATTGTTTGGACTCATATTTTCGCATACGTGATGCATTGAATCGTTTTGTATAACACATATCACGCACCTCACAGTTCTTATAATTATACAATATGACTCAGCCTGTGAATATCACGGACTAGGACTATTCGCACTTCGGTTTGCAAATTTAGAATCCAAATATGTAGTTGTTCGTTTAAGTCTGGAACAGAAGTTTGCCACATTTCAGCGATTTGAATGATATTGATTGATCCTACTTATTTTATCAATTTAAATGAGAAATGCCTTCTTTCTTGTCTACCTTCCTTTCCTCCACCAAGAAAGGCTGCAATGAGATATTGTTAC